CCCACCAGTGTCCGATGTGCTGTGATGTCAATTTCCCATGGAAGTGCTGTGGGGTGGGAGACGAGGCTCCACATCCTGTTCGGATTGTGCCAGGCGGGGGGGGCACAAATGCAGGCATTGGCCCCCAGGTGCTGGAGACGCCACTGGTTGTGTGCCAAAATGCAATGTGCTCTGCATGACACCTGAGTAGGCAGAATCCCATCCCGCTTACAAAGGGCACCCCTGCCCCTATCTCAGGATCCCCCTCCATTTGGCTGTAGTCAGTTCTTCTCTCAGGATCTGGGTGCTAGTGCTCTAGCTCTCTCTTCCCTCCACCCCAGCCTGAACACTGGAAATGAAGCAGTTGCTTTAGCAAGCCAAACCTTAGTTAAGCCATTCCAGCAGGCTCATCTCCAACTAATGAGGGTATGTTTTTTTCAGCAGTATCTGTCACTGTAGTGCACAGCAAGAAATAAAAAAAAATCCTGCCTTATTCTGTTTACAATTTAATTAAGATTGTTGAGTACAGGCAGGGAAGAGATACCAGAAGAATTTCTTTCTACTCTGAACCTATTTTCTGCAACTGTTACCAATATGCAACTCTCTGGGCTTCATTTTTTTTAATGATTGATGTTACTAAATCTGAGCATAATAGTTTAAATCTATTTTCTCTTTCTATAAATATATTTAGCACCTTCTTACATTTCTAGCTTTAACATTCTTCCCAAATTAAGTCTTTATTTTGATTCCTATTTTAATCTAGTTAATACTAATTTTAATCTGTTAATACACTTTATTAACAATTATCTTCTTACATGTTCCAAATCATTTCCAATTTTAGCAATCATTTCTGCCTCTTTATATGTTAAGAGTTCAGATCCATCCCAACTTCTGATCAAGGCTCATTTCTGGGGCTTGCAAGAATTCAGGTTAGAGGCTGAGGCTTATTAGTAAGAGGAGTAGAAGCAATAGTCTCAGCCAGCAGCACAGGAAATTTGGGTTGGAGATTAGAAAGAAGTTTCCCACTATTAAAGTGGTTAAGCATTGGAACAGGCTACCAAGGGTAGCTGTGGAATCTCCATCTTTAGAAATATTTAACAGGAGTTTAAACAGACATTTGACACTGCCAATTTATTCAAGGGTAATCCTACCTGGAGTAGGGGGCTAGACTAAATAGCCTCCTGAGATTCCTTCCAGCCCTACTTTTCTATGACATTCATATAAAAGATATAGAATCAGACTGATAAATATATTTGTTTGGGGAAATAAGAAACCTAGGCTAAAAAATTCCATCCTGCCATGACCTTGGCAAAAAAAAGTGGGAATTGATGCTTCCAAATGTTACATTGCTATCAGGCCAGCTAACTTAGAAATTCAATATATTGAATAACACCAATTCACATTACACACCAAGTAAACACAGAGCTAGTATACCATTCACCCATTAGACTTATGTTGAACAATTAATATATTGTCATGGCTAAAGAAATCTTCCAGGCCAAATTCAGTATACATTCATCCCTCTATGAGAGCAATAATGGGAACTTGGAATAACACTAAGCAAATAAGCTGATACTCACTAACTTTAACACTTTTATATAATAGTATTTAATTTATGTCTAATAAATAATTAAAAATTAAATTAGTAGCTGGAAACATATTAGCATCATAAAACATGGACAATTATTTAAAAAGATATTTAGATCTTCTGAACAAATGCAATACACCATGAAAGATTAAAGTACTTTTCAATACACCCTGAAGGAAAGGCAAACCTCAGAAGAAAGTTTACAGAATTTGAGAAAACACTGATTACACCTATGAAACACACAAGACTACTGTCTATGCTACCTAAAACAATTTTGAATTCCCATATAAAAGGGAAAAAAAGCATTGTTTCTGGCAAAACGGGGTTTTAGACTCTGAATCAGAAATTACTGAAGACAACCATCTGGACTATGATCTTTACACAAACATTTGCATGGCAAGAAAAGAAAATTGCTTTTTAAATTTTATCAGTGGTGTCTCACCCCACTTAAAATTAAATACATCTATGGTACAGGCAGCAGCAGATCCCAGATTTGGCAAAGGATGGCTTGACCCCCTGCTCCCAGCCTCCTCCCCCATCTCCACCCAGTGTGGGCAGACTGTGCTGTTGGAGATTCTGGGGATAATCCCCACCCCTCTTCCCCTCTATGCACAAAAGGCATGTCCTTTCCCCTTTCTTCCCTCACTAACCTGCCATTGTTGCTTTCCCTATTGTCCCAGAGGCTGGGGAATTTTCATAGCTGCTCCTGCCTGCTCCAAAGCTGCTAAATATACTTGTGCTATTATTCACAGCAAAAGTCCTTTTCTTGTTTTTGCAGAAGTATATGTACTGTCAATTTTTTCATTTTAAACTAGTTTGATACCCAAACTCAGTCATAACATTTCTCTTTAAAGAATGAAATTATGTCTGCATCAATTTTCCTGAAATAATTCAATGAAAATTAATTGATACTACCAATTCCCCAATGAAGACATTCATTTTGATGGTTTTTTATATCTTATATTATTTCTAACTATTATTTTGTTATATCAGTAAACTAGATGAAACAGAATTCAGTCATCTTCCCATTAATTATTATTTGCTTTCAAGATATAAATATAAGTAATCAGACTGGTATTTTGGGGTGACCCCTGGGACATAACTACAAGGGGGCTCCCAGTGAGGAGAGTGGAAATATAGCAGGGATGAGCAATTATTTGGGCCCAAGGGCCACATAGGCTAGGAACAGACATTCAAAAACCCTGAGCCTGAATTAATTCAATCTTTGCAGGTTAGTCTTACCTGGTTAGGCTGAACTGGTTTGTAACTGACACAGACATTTCAGACATACAGGCACATGCCTGCAGTGGCTCAGGCTAGAAGCTGAGGGGTGCTAGAGCAGCCCTCCCATCCCTTCCACAGTACTGAGCTGAGGGGGGAGGGAGGGAAGGAGTGGCCAGACCCCAGCAGAATGCTTTGATTAGCCCAGAAGGGAATTGATAACAGTGTTTATCACCCCTAACTCAGTGTGTATTCACCCCATTAAAAAAACAACAGAGGAACATTACCAGCTATCTGTTGATTCTGCCTGTAGATTCAGCATGGACCATAGCCAGCATGTGGGCTAGCTAATACACAGACACCTCCTCAGCAAGCCAGAGGGGAGGAGGGGAAGTCCTGCTTAGCAGGGAGTGGTGAGGGGGTGGAGGCAGCCAAAAGTCTGTGCTGGAGCTGCAGCCTCTTAAACCAGCAAGGGGTGTGGGACAGACATTGCATAAACCAGTTTGGCCCAAATCAGTTAAGTCTGATATACATTCAACCAGGTTTATCTCAAACTGGTTTCATCCATTTTCAAACTGGTTTATGTGCACTGAACATCTGTTCTGTTAGCCATAGGGAGTTTGGTGGGCTGTTGCAGGCCAGATTAGCACCCCGACCCTGCCCACAACAGGGTGCCAAAACTCCTTAAGTGGCTCTGCTCCCCATTCAGCCAGGCAGCTGGGAGGCATGCAGGGCGTGGCATCTGGGAGCGGGATGAGCGGGTGGGCGGGGCCAGGGCTGAGATCTCAGAACTGGGGCTGGGGAACATGAAGATTGGCTGGGACCTGTGCAGACGGAGTGCACATACAGGAACATTGGATGAGGATGGGGGCGGGATGGGATGGGGCTGCAATCGACCAGGGAGTTGCATCCAGGGCTGGGTCTAGGATCCTGGGGAAGTAGCAGCATGGGGCTGGGGCCTTAGGCAGAGCCATGATCTGCTCCCCATATACCCCTGCCTTGAGAGCCCATGCCCCTTGCAGAGACATGTAGGATCAATATAAAATGTTAAAAATTCAATCTCCCTTATAACACAACAATTACGTTACTCTTCCAGAAATCCCCATGAGGAAGTCCCCAGAGCAAAAGTGGAACCACCTCAGTAACAACAGCTCATTTGGTTATTTACTAGTCAGAACTAAAAAGGTCAGTATTTTTCTCAATTCTGTGTGTTGTATGGGATTATGCAAATTAATAACAGGGATTTATTTAATACATAACAGTTCTAGCATCATAAGGGGAAAAAAAACAAATCAGTAGAAGTGAGGGAGCTTCAGGTTATGACGTATGAGATTCAAGTTAAATCTAAGACTTACTTTCAAATGTACATTACACATGTACATGAGTACCAGAGATGGGAAGACAGAAAAACTTACTGGCATCACTTTTCCTTCTTCATCACAGACACACATGATCACTTCCACATTTCTCTGTGTTGTTTTATTGTACTTATCAAAATCTCCATATAACAATGTAATGTAAATGTCATTTCTTATATCCCCTATAAAAGAAATGCTAATATTATCACTCAGAATAAAACACACTACAAAAATTAAAGGGGGAAAAAACAAGCTTCACTTAAAGTAGATAATAATTGTTATTGCATACTTATCTTACTGTACTGAACTGTATTTAAAAAGTTAATTTCAGATAAAATTAATTGAAATTTTCCATTTGCTATTTCCATCTGCTCAGATTCTGTGGTGTTATGTGGAACTGGCCAAATACATTTCCTAAAAATAAACTCCTCTAATTCTCATCCTGCAGCGACACCTTATGGTGAGGTAAAGATCAGATATTCTTGGTGAATTTGCTAAACAAGCTTCCAGGTTTTTTCACCTCCCACAATAGACTCAGAATACTAAGATGTGGGCATTTTCTCCTTCTTTTCCTCAGGTGAATTAATCAGATGTTACCAAAACCATAATGTCAAAGGACAAATGGAAAACTCTGAAGGTAGCATTTAAAACAGTCATTTTAAACAACAGGAATCTGACTGTAAATCTGTGTTCAATGTAGAGTGACTTCACACGTAGTAAATGTTTCAAAACTGTACTATAAAAGTGAAATAATTATCAATTCAAGTTAAAAGTAAATCTTCATTAACACAGTGGCCAAGAGAACAGTTCAAGAGAAACATACTACTTCACCTTGATTTAAGGCTAAAACATTAAAACAATTATACTTTATATTTTCTAAATAATTATATTTAACGTCTAACCCTGGGAATAAACATGCATCTCCAAGTCAATTATAAATGAGCTTCAGACCTTACACTGATACATCTTCTCTTTGACTTCAGAGTCAATAACAATAACTACATGAAAAAAAATCTATTTTCTATAATCAAAATATTGAAAACACTTAAGTAAAACAAAATATCATCTCCTACCTGGCATTATTATTTCAGGAAATCCCAGCTTCCTAGCAACAACTGTAGTCCTGTCAACAAGATGAGGGTAGTCTTTCCTAATCTGACTCATATCTCCAACAAGCATTTTCACAGTTACCCACAGACCTTTAGAAAAATGTAGTGCAAGACTGTATAAATTACTTATTTTGGATTTTCTTTGACATAAGCACCTTTTTTCTTCATTCTAGAGAACTTTTCTCACCTTCCCCATTTTCCCAAGCCAAAACAGATGCCATAAACCACAAATGATAAGAGACTCTAATTTCCACACAAAGACTTCAACACAGTCAGAGTCACAGGGCATCTAGCCAAACAAACAACTTAAGTGTGGATACTAATTTAAAACCCAGAGATTTGTTTCACTTGCACCTGCAAAGTCTACTTTACCTTGCCCACCACTGTCTCCTTTTGATGCTGTTGCCTTGGTTAGGAGAGTATGTAAAAAGTCACTCTCCGCCACCACCCTAAGGGGAAAAAAGAAAAAAAGAAATAAAATCCACCAAATTGGTTACTGATGACTGCTAAACAGACTAAATTCATTTTTTCAAACAGCCAAATGACCTCAATTCTCTATACTTTTAAGAATCTCACAAACTTAAAGTCACCCTAAAATATCATTTCATATTTAAAACTAAAAAAATTAGATTTGTCCAGTGAGTCAGAGAGTTAAGTACTATATTTTCTTTCATATAACCACCCCTCCCCTGCCCCCAGATAAGACATGTACTTTGTTTTGAGAAATCAGAATAAGAATAAACAATTTTTCTAGTGACCAAATGCTGACTGCAGGAAATCATGACTGCAGCAACAGTAGCTGTTAGAAGCTTAGTGCTGTAGCTTTGATCCTGACGGGTAAACTGTGTCCTTTCTCCACCCAAGGCTGGCAGAGTGAGAAACATGGCAACTATCTTGCAGCCCTGTCTCCCTGCTACTATTCCAGCAAGAAAAATCAGCTTCTGCACTTAAGACACATTTTGGAGGTCAGATTTTTGGAAGAAAAGTGCATGCGGTATGCAAGTATATAGGTATTACACAGCAATGTATTTTGAAACATGTTGACTGAATGTATTCATATAAAACTAAATGGATTTAGCTCTGTAGTGGCAAAACTATATCAGTTTTGATGAGACAAAAATGGAAGCTTTTCCTGTTATGTTCCTAGTCAATGTCACTCCATGAGGTTCTGAAACTGTTTGCAGAGCTATTGGCCACCACCTATGCTCTGGTCCTCCAGAAATGAACAAGAGTCTAAAACCCTATCACAGTGCTGGCTCAACATTTTCCTGACTGTTGAAAGGAAATTCTAACACCCAGGCAAGTTATTTGTACTCAGAATCAGCTGAAAGCAATACCTAAATTTGCAGTCACCTGAAAGAAGCAAAGCCTTCCTGGAGAACTCTGAGGGGTCCTATTTCAAGGTACAGACGTGCCTTGCTAAAAAATTATATGATTTTGATTCTATAAGTAATCTTAACGTATTCAGCTAGTGCTTATTCCAATACAGCTTTCTTTGTCAGAAGCCAAGGATGCACACTTAATTCCTCTACTGTTCAGCTAAGGAATGCTTTTTCTTATACGATTTACCAATTGGTGGCAAGGGCTCAGGCTATATGATGGAGTGCCCTCACAACCAATTAACAATGAGGGACGGGGCCATATGACAGACAGCCCTAGCAACCAATCAGTGGTGACTGATCATGCAGCCACCAGGGCCCCTTAACCAGAGTGGGGGAGGGAAGGAACCATGATGAACCTGCAAAAATGTTGGCCAGCCCTGTAATCTCCACGTGAAATCAGCCAGCCATCTCCTTAAGTTGGGTAGACCCCTACTCATGGACCTATTGTTTAGAATGGGTTTGTGATCAGAATGCTCTAGCTCTGTTACATAATTCACAGCGTTGGATGACTGGGAGTGAATATATCAATATGAAAATAGGTATGTTTTTCTGTTCCCTTTTGGAAAACTTCTGTGGCTTGTCAAATGTCAACAAGCCTGATTTCTGCAGAGCGTTAACCAAATATCCCTTTTGTACATATGTATCAGCTCAATTTTGCAAGAAAGAAATCCTTGTATACTACTAACATGTGCAGCAAGGTCTTCATAAAGTTACTTTTTTTTTCTTTTTAGCACTTTGGACTACTAATGTTAATTAATAATTTGTATACTTAAAATCACTTTACCTGTCTGAGTTCTGCAATATCCCTTCAAGAGAATTTAAAAAGTACTTTTTTGTATTATAAAAGTAAAATATATTTATAACTGTCTTACGGATGAAAGGGAATGAAATGCTGCTTCTCTTCATCACTTTCTGATTTTCCTTTTACAATATCTGTAATATCCATAACTAGAAAAGTAAAAAATGTGTAAGGACCTGGAAAACTATCATTCTCTTACTAATACATAGCCTACAAGATTAATACATAATTTTACTTGTGAACAGGTAAAAATGTTAAGATATATTCAATCTTCAGATACCCGGACTTTATTATGTTTTTACATGCAAGTATTTAATCAGTTATAATTAGCAAAATAAAATATTTTCCATACAATATATGATTGATCCTAACTTCAAAATTGAATTATATCTAGTTGGAGGTTCTCTGTTTTAGAATTAAATATCCTCTTCAAGACACTGATGCGTTGCAGGCAAGCTACTTAATGGGAATCTCTCACAAATATGGCATTTACTGACAACTGGACTGGGGGAAAAAACTGTGTGGGCTCTTCTACTCTACAACACCTCAACAACATAACGACACCGGCAGAACCCTTTAGTAAAAGCACAGCATATCCTCTAGAAGGGGTGTTGTGTTTGATTGTTTTTGTTTTTTTCCTGTCAGCACAATAGCACTCCCTCCCCAGATGACATGAGATAAACACACAAAAGTCGTTTTTACTAGTTTGCTGAAATAGCTGTGGGGGAATGACTTCTTTATTATTATTTATTTGTTTGTTTATTTATTTTTACACCCCTAGCCAACATAGCCATGTTGGAAAACGTTGTAGTCCGAACTGGGCCACAGTGGCATACCATAACAGTACAGCTGACTTGCTGGGTATTGGCCAAACCAGTACATGGTGTGATTGAGCCCTGTTCTTTCTGGAACATGCAAACCAGTATTTTTATCTGCAGGGACTTCAGACGGAAGGACACTAGAAGCTGAGACAAATGTGTGCACATCAGCTGAGAAAAAGTAGACTTTCTCTAGTGCTAGTACAAAAGAAGATAGCAGTCTCTGTACCAGAACCTATATTTTTGCTATTACTCTGTGTGAAACAGCACCATTTCATTTCAACTTCCATTTCACCGTTTCAAAGGGACAAGTTTAATTTCACTGTTTCAAAGCACTGTTCTGTTCCATTTTCTTGAACAGATTCACTGTTTCAACATTGTTTTGACATGTTTCGACACTTCACCAATAGGCTATAATGGGGAATCACAAAAATGCCTACAACTTTGTCATTTCTTGCCTGATTCGGATGAAAATTGTAGGGATGGATGGTATCCCCTTCTAAGGGCATGAAGCCTTACAAAGTTTTGAGAAGATAGGTGATGAGGTTTTTTTGAAACTGCACCTCAACCTCTTCAAAACAAAACTAGTATCACTCGCTGGCAGTGGCAGCATGTTGTCATCCTGCACACAGATCCGGGGGCCTGCTCTCCCCGGGAGGAGTCTGGCACAGCTCCGCTGCCCTCTCAGGGGGCATGGATCCCCGGATCTGCATCTGGAATGACAACATGCTGCTGCTGCCAGCACTGGGTTCTTCCTGGTGCTCAGTGTGGGCTGCGCCGTGCAAACTCGGGTGCTGGTGCTGGCCCCAGCCAGCAGAGGCAGCATGCTGTCATTCGCATGCTCCACAGCTGGTAAGTGTGGAACTTTAAAAAGCCCCACACTCACCGACTCTGGCAATGGCACCACACGGGGCAGTAGGAATCACCACCCCCAGCCTAGCCTCTGCACAGCAGCTACATACTCACAC